TTATAGGATTAGTTATTTTATTATAATATACTAATATTCTGCTTACTCTATTTATGATGTATATTAAAGTCTCTAAATGATATTAGATTATTTACTGATTATTTTCATATCACTAATATATATAGTAAAGATAGATACCTTGAAAGATAATTTGTAAATTATTGGATATCCTATAAAAAGTTTATGATATTTTTCCTATATCCATTTTATTCTCCTTTAAGTCTATATACTGTCATTACTAGAAAAACTTAAGATATCAGTATATCTTCAATGTCTATAAGCCTTTTGAATTCTTCAGATATATCTCCTGAATCCATGTTATTATTAGCTAAAAATTTCTTTGATAAAATCCTTTTTATATAATATTATAGATATAAAGCCTATACAATTATTATTGATAGATTACATTTATTACATATAAGATAAATATTATATTTGATTTTGTTTATTTTTTTACAAAATTTATTTAATATTATTTGTTCTTTATTAGCAATCATGCTTTCTGTTACTCATTTTGTATATTATATATCTAACTAATCATTTTTCTTTTGCTTGCTTTCTGTTCGTCATCTTCAGTTATTTTTATAACTGTACTTTTCTCTATAGTCTCTATTAATTATTTTTTTTTGAAGCTGATAACTTAAATATTGCATTTATTTTTTTTTTATTTTTCTGTTTCTATTTTATCATTTATATTATTTGTGTATAAGATATACTTCACGTTATTCTATAATCTTATTTTGTTATTTCTTTCACTTTCTAATTATCTTTGTATTAATATTTTGTTTATTATTTTATATTGCAAAATTAATATTATTTTGTTATTAAAATTGAGGATATTAATTTTAATTTTTATTTGAAAATTTATATTTATTTATTTTTAAAATTTTCATTTTTATATTAAGAATATAACTATAATTAAGCAAAATCTAAGCCATATTTTTTAACATCTAACATATATAAAATTATTCTTATCTTAATATAGTCTAAACAATTAAAAAATAATTAGTATGATAACATAATTTAAATGATTTTATATATTTTTAATAATTATTATTATTGAATATTAATAAACAAATCATATTCTGTAAATATTTGAATAAATTAATTTATATTTTATTATTATTTTATTTTTATACATATAAATAATTATCTAATTATTTAAACTAACTAAAACTATCTAAGAAAACTTGTTATATTATTTTAAAGTTTAATTCACATTTTATTATTATATAATTTTTGTTTATTTTACTGTCAAACTATTATAAATTACTTTTATTTTGTGAATTAAAATAGACTATATTTTTAATATTTTAGACTTACAAATAGTTCCTATTCTTTAATAACTATTTTTTCATAATTTTTGAATTCCTCAAAATTATTATATTTTTTTTTTAGTATTTTAATATATTAAAAGATTTTATCTATCTAGAATAATATTAGATAATTGGATAATTTTAGACAATTTTGAATATATTTTGAATAAATTTTAAATACTTTTTTCTATATTTAAAATCTTATCAAAAACTTTTAAAATTTAAAATTGTATTCAATACTAATCTAAAATACTATTTTAATAATAAATTAGAAATTTTAAAATAAAACTTAATGGTTTGATCTTAAGTTTAATTTTAAAGACTAAACTTTATATATATATATATTTATTTATTTAGTGATTATATTTTAAGATTAGATTTAGTATATTTATACTTAAAACTTTAAATTTAATTAACATATATCTGAAAATTTTAATACTTTAATATCATTTTTTATCATAGTATTTTTTTGAAAAATCAGATTTAAAATGATTTTTTATATATTAAAAAATAATAATATATAGTTTAATCCTTATATAAAGACACTCTCTAGAATTAAAAAAAATGATATGATTATAAAAATACTATATAATGTAACTAAAGAGAAAATTATTAATAAGTTTATTAGTAATTTAGATCAATATTAGTATGTTTATAAAAAGATCTGATTTTATATAGAGTGACTATAAAGAGAAGCAACTAAAAATAATTATCATAATTATTTTTAAACTTCAATTGAATTGCAATTTAATTGCATTATAAGAAAATTTAATTATGTTACAAGTTATAACTCAATTATGTTATTTTTTAATTATAGTATCTATCTTTAGAATCAGTTTTTTAACAAGAATTTATTAATCACTAAATCTAAACTCTGTAAAATTAGACTTAGTATATATATACCTGAGAAGTTAGATTTTTTTCTGAGAAATTGGACTTTTTTATCTTAAGTATTTTATAATAAATTATTTTTAAATTAATTTTAAGATATCAATATATAATTTAAAGTTGTAGAGTTATATCTTGAATATTAAAATACTTTATATTTTTATATTTTTAATACTTTTTAATAGTAATTGTATATCATAAAAAATTTTAAATATTAAAAGTGATTATAATTATATTTAAAAAACTATATAATAAGTATATTTCTTAATAATTAAAGATTATAAAAAGATTAGATAGCTAGAATTAAGCCCAAATTGGTTTAAAATCTAGAATTAATACTGGTAATATACAGCATAAACTTGCTTATGACTAAATTGAATAACTTATAGAATTTTATTCAGATTTTTATTTTAAAAATCTTTATAATAATATTAGGTAATTAAATAATTTAAACAATTTTAAACAGTTTAAATAGGTTTTAAACACTTTTTTTTTTTTTAAAAACCTTGTTCAAAATATTTAAAATCAAAAAGACAAAACCCATCTTTAGTTTAAAACAAAATTTTTTATAGATTTAAATTAAGAGGATGTCTAAAGCGGAGTTAATCACGTGATCAATATAAATTATTTGTCACCTATATCACATCCCTCCACAATTAGTTTTTCGGTTGCAAAATCCTATTTGTCAGGCCCCTTATTCGTCATATGACTAATTTCTTAATGCCACATTCCGGCCAAAACAACTCCGCTTTAGACGGACCCCAAATTAGGTTTTAATTAAAGTAATGATCGACATACAAAAGGTATAAAAGTATCGATAATCTATTTTTCTAGATTTTGAAGCAATGGGTAAAGTACCAAATAAAAAAAAATATAAATCAGCAAAGTCTTCACCAATTATAAATAATGCTAGCATTTTAGAATCAAATGATAATAACGACTTTCTAACACAAGCTTCGAGAAGCTCGGATGTGCTCCCGGTTATTAAGCAGGTCTGCCTCAGAATTGCAATGACCTCTTTCTCTCTTTATTTTATTTTAATTTCTCATTTGGCACTTGAACAACAGCTGTCTTCAGCTGATCCTATTGAACGCGCATGGGCAGCAAGTTGTGTATCCAACCTCATAGCAGGCGAAGAAAAAATTCGTCGTCTCTTATTATCAAAGAATCTCATAAGTTTGTTAATAGAACGGTTAACGGATGATGTTTATGAAGTAATATATGAAAGTGTAGGTACATTAAGGTGAGTGCAATTATATAATCTACAAATAATGACTTTATACAGTTTTAAATATATGTTTTACATATAGAAACTTAACGGTTATAGGGGAGTATGAAATATGCGCTGAAATGTTCAATAAAGATATTCTGACCCCTTTAATGAGTCTTATTTCAAAGGTATAACATATAAATGTAAATATATAATAAATAATTAACATTTGAACTAAACATAAGTTTCCTTTCTGTGTTTAATAGTTATCTATAATTATTGACAACATGTTAAAAGGAATTTCATATGAATCTGATCCAATTAAAAATGCAAGAAATAATTTATGGATTTTTGCAGAAAACATTATTTGTATTATATGGGCTTTGAGGTACCAAACAATGACATTTTTGTTATCATATTCATATTTGCATTCAGAAAATAAAACTCATAAAATTTTACAGTGAAACTTCACAGAAGATACTCAGAGGAATTAATAATATGAATATAGTTCATTTTCTAATGGCTTTTTTTATTAATATTGAAAAAATTCCAATAAAAACAGTCATTGCTGCTGGTATATTTTATTTAGGAAATTTTATACAAACTAATGTTAATACGTTATCTCATTTCAACCATTTTTTTTTTTTCCGATCAAGCACAATGTCTTCACACAATTACAGACGAAAACTCAGACATACAT